TGACTTATACTCACCACCTCCTACTCATGTCATCCAAAGTGAGTTTAGTGCTTGGTGACTTATACTCACCACCTCCTACTCATGTCATCCAAAGTTAGTTTAGTGTTTGATGACTTCTACTCGCCGCCTCCTACTGATCTCATCCAAGATGAATTTTTAAACATAAATAATGATGAAGTTTCTCAATTCAGGAAGATTTTTACATATTTCTCAACCCTATTATAAGTAGAATCAAGTTGGTTCTGGTGATGTTTCCAATTGGTACCTATACTATATAAGCTGAAAAATCATGATTTTTTAAAGTGCAAACTGGTGTTATTCAGTGTTAAATAATTCCAGATTCAATATCGCTAGACCGCATCTCGGCAGACAGCATCATATCCCACGTACGTCAGCCCAGAGCTGCCCCTGCTGTAGGCCAGAGCAGCAGCTCTGCTGCAGGACCTTCTCCTCTGAGAGCCACGCATCCACTGCCCCGCATGCTCTCTGCTGACCTACACTCTGCGCTGGATGTCAGTTCATCAGTGGAATGACATGAAATTTTGGCATTTTTTGTCTCTTTATCAGCTTTTTTAACACCATCGATATAGTTTTTTTGGCAGGTTTTTAAGTTTAGTATGAAATTCATTTTTCCATTTAGCCCCAAATGAATGTATTTTTAATTCAGCCAATTATTCAAGTATAAAATCCATGTTTTTCTTCCATTTTCTTTTAGAAAATATTGATTCTATTAATATTTGTTTGAGAACGCCATCTCCCAATTGTATAAACAGGTCCAGGAATATGTTAATATTCCGTTTTCCATTCCTTGTTCAGTGTTAACGAAATGGCTCATACATTTCATGAAAAATTCTGGATTGATAATACCATAAATTGTACTAACTGTACTTTCTATCTTGGATGTCTGGTCACTATGAGTTGAAGGCTTTTTGTATTCATTTGAATAATTTACATTATTCACTCAAAAAAGCAGTGATGATTTATTTGAGGGACTTTATGTCTACTAAAATATTTCATTTTCTAGATTTGCAAGAATATAAATCAGCGCGAAGGCAGCGCGCACTCGGATTATTTTTCTTTGGCCGAAGAATCCTTGCACCAAGACGAACCAAGTTCGGAATGTCAGCCTGTCATTCCTAAACCACAAAACTCTGCTCCAACGGACACTTCAACTGGAAAATATTTTGGTGTTTCGTCCGACTCTTCAAAGGAGGCTTTGAAATATCGCTACTCAAACTCAGAAAAAGGCTTAACAAATTTCCCGTCAGTAGATGGTACATATTTGCAACAAGGTTCAAAAGCTGGTCTATGTTTACAGACAGGCAATAGTGTCTTCCCGGATGCTGTAGGAGATAAATCTCTGTATTCTACCTATGAGATAAAATCATCAAGAGCTTTGGTTTCCCCACCTCCACCTGTCTTGAATGGACATGCTACGTACACCATTAATCAAGCTAATCCTCGCTCTGTGTCAAATTCGGGTAATTTTGACGGCATGGGAACGTACACTATCAGCAAAAATTCTGTCGGTTCCATTGCTTCCACTGATTTAAACCTTGCACAAATTTCCAAAAATAGTCTCTCTGGGTCTTCATCCGACAAATCTATGTCAAATTTTACCAATATAAAAGTTTCAGATGTTGAAATACTAAACGGAAAAACATACTCTCGTGTTCATCCTGAAGAAATGAATGGTTTAGTAAATGTTGACAACAATGTGCAACAAAATGCAACAGATGGCGTCATTCCCCCGGCCCCTTCAAAGTCTGATGATAGAACCAACTCGCCAAGGACCGCTAGTCCTGTACTTGACTTGCCAGGTGAAGATGGTTGCTCCCGTACAGAACTGGACTATAGAGAAGAAAATACCCATAATGACGACCGCAGTTTCGGTAATAAATTACGAGGAAGCGCCTCGATGAGTAACATTCAAGCTTCTGCCGCTGCCGAGGCTCTGTCCGTCATTGGAACAAATCTTGAACGCCAGAAATTTGTGCAACGACAGAAAAATCAGGAAACTAGTGCTGACAATCCATTGTTGATTTCCGACGGTGATTACGTATATCATCGAGAAGATGCGAGCCAAAATAATACTAATTTTACTCAGAAATTGCGACCTTGGATTCGAGGATCCGCTGATAATATTAATAGTTTTAACTCGAATGCACTTACAGGTCAAGCGAGGGATTTGAAATCTAAAGATTCGTCACGTATCTCGACCGATTCACTTTTTCCTGCGATGAGACAGCGACGATATTCCTTCAATCAAAAGGACTCAATATCAAGCATAATTCGGAACATAGATGACGACCTACTCCTTAGTTCACTCAAGTCGGAGCACCCTAGAAGGACTTTAACCCAAAATCAATTGAAAAATCCCTCGTCGTCTCCCTATTCCAATGGATACACTGACACCGTTGCGCCGCCTTCGTCACCTGGTGGAAGGTTATCTGTTACTCCTGCTTCTTATGAACCTGGCCTCAACCGCAAAGACATTGCATCACCTCGGGGTTCGCCTCCAAATAATGCCATCGGTTCTGATAATCACGGCTCTGAATTATCAATTGTTGATGGAATGACTGTCAGTGCAGGGCCTATTGCTGCTGGAAGACCGCTGCCGCATAGCCAATCAGAAACAATAACTGCTGAAGGACGGATGCCGGATGGACAATCTGAAGAAAAGTTGGTCCCGCATTTAGACAGCGGCTGCAGTTCTCAAAGGGACCGTGCAAATACTGCCGCTTCACCTTTGGGAAGTCACGGCCCTCTTGATGAAAGGGTTAATTTATCAGGCTTAAGTGGCAGCGGGTTGGCGAAATTTTATCCATCTTTGGACGGTAGTTACGCCAAAGACAGTTTATTATCTCGACTCCAAGGTAGCTCATCCACAGGCCTCTTACCCTCAACACTCAGCAGATCAAGTGACTTTACTCGTTCCCTCAGAAGCAATTCACTCTTAAGTCAAAACTCCGCTAAAAGAAAACCGCTTAAAGCCAGCGAATTTTCACCAACTGGGTCCGTGATCGACGTAAATCTTGTTTCACACGAGTTACGGCAAACGAAAGTTGCTGATGTCCTCGCACAAATTAAAGCCAGTAAACCAACCTGTGACATGAACTACTACAACGTTCGCCAGAGCATACATCGGCAACATATGAAAGCATTTACCAGAAACCAACAGCAAATTCTGAGCAGTGAAAAGCCTAAAGAAGTTTCGTCGAGTATATCTACCGCTCGGACTGTGTCAACTTCAAGAAGCGTCAGGTCCCGCAGCGTTGAAAGCTCGAGACGTGTTCCAGACGACGGTACAAAGAAGCTCGGCCGAAACCAAGCCCTGGGTTCCAGCCATACAAACCTGACCGACCGCCAACAGTCAACAGATTCAAGAGATCGCCATGCAAATAAAAATTCTCGTATTAAGAAAAAAGAAATTGACAATTCGTCTTCATTTTCAAAGGCCGTCGTGCCTCCACTGCAGCTCAATGGCGTAACACAAACAACATTAGACGAGTCACGCAACAGAACCCGACACGACAGCTTGACAAGCATCGATATTAACAGTGTTGGCTCAAGCTCAGTTCTTGGGAACGTAAAAATTCCTCTTGACCTGCAGTCAAATTTCTCTGAAGTTACTTCAGTGGAGGCAAATCAAAAGCCTGCAGCTGCCGCGCATACAACGGAGAATGGAATGATTGCTTCCATGGACCAGCCGCTGGACTGCATTGCTGAAGTATCTTCCGAGTCTGGTAAGTCCTCAGTGAGGTTAACATCCGCAAATATTATTTTAATTTAAGTATTTATTGGTGCACAATTCTCGTTCTGAATGTGTCTAATTCGAATTAACGTTTAAGTAATGGTCGAATTCTCATTTAAGTATTTATTGGTCGACTTCTCGAAATCCGGATATGCTGCATCAAAGTAAGAACAAATAAATCTTGATTATTTCACTTGAAGCGACGGCTGTTCCCGGACCGGATTTGCGAACCTCAAATGAGCCGTGAAATTTTAATGCATGTATGAATTAATTATAATTATAATGTGTATCATTGTAAATATATTCAATTAAACATGATCACCATCAAATGTAAACATTTATATATTTGCTCAGTATTTAATTGTTTGATACTAAAAAACTGACTGCTATATTCATTTTTAGCGCATTTTCTCACTTATGGAAAAAATGCAATATTGTGCTCTCCATGTCCTTGCTGTCTGCCTGTCTGTCTGTCTGTCCGTCCGTGACTTCACGTTTTCTTCGACGAGAAAATGCGGTCTCTGTCACTCACTGCAGTGAGTACTGAGTTATATTTTTTATTCTATCATAATACATTAGAAATAATACGCTCCCCATATACAGGCACGCAGAGGAGCTGTGGAGGCTCTGTTGACCCAGGGGCAAAACAGGCGCCGGGCGATGACGATTACGCGACCTCAACTCCACGGCCCCAACCCCAACAAGAGTTTAATCCTGCACCACATAATNGCCTGTATCAACAGCCTGTATATGTACACACAGCATGTCTCCACACAGCCTGTATCAACAGCTGTATATGCACACACAGCCTGTATCAACAGCCTGTATATGTACACACAGCATGTATCCACACAGCCTGTACTAACAGCCTGTATATGTACACACAGCCTGTATTACCACCTGTATATGTACACACAGCATGTCTCCACACAGTCTGTATTAACAGCTATAGATATACACACAACATGTATCCACACAGCCTGTATTGCCAGCCTGTATATCCACACACAGCCTGTATTAACAGCCTGTATGTATTAATAACTGTATATGTCCACACAGCATGTCTCCACACAGCCTGTATTACCAGCCTGTATGTCCACACAGGTACCTGCAGGCGCGGCGCATGGAGCAGGCGCGCGCCGAGGCGGCGGAGGAGGCGCGGGATCCGTGTTGTCCTGAGCGCCACACGCGCCTCCCTGACCACCAGCGCCTCGCCACACTGCGCCTCCTACATACCAGTAAATATTATTAATTAATAAATAATAATAATACTAATGAAATTATTAATTAATATTATTGTATAATAATAATAATGAAATTATGAATTATTAATTATGTATAATAAATTAAATTTATTACTAATAATAATTTGTTTATTATTAAGTACTGTTTTATTCCAGTAATTGAGCTCTCATGGAAATGTATGGGTCAAATAGAGTAACCGTCATACTAAGTAATAATGGCACACTTGTTGTCAAAATAGTGACCCATTTTCATACCCACAGCACAAGCAGAGGGCGGACGTAGCACTGATTTGCCCTATTGTAGGACAAAACTGAGTCAGGATAACCCACGCAAGGGCAAATAGTGCATCGTTATTTAGACATAGTCACACTCATTTGTCCGTGTGATTTATTTGATCTTCCCCTTTTGACTATTGACGCTATTCTTCATGAGTATTGTATTGTACAATGGGTATTGAGTGGCAGTATAACAGGCATTATGTTATATCATCTTGAGTATTATTTTGTATTAGCTTGTGTTGTGGATAGTAATATCATTACTATTGAGTGTTATTATTAATACTTTTAAGTACCATTATGTATAGTTTCAAGTATCATTATGTATAGTTCGAAGTATCATTATGTATAGTTTCGCGTATCATTTGCTCAGCACTAACATATGGTTGGTGCGCAGGCATCCAGGAGGTGGTGCGCGAGCTGAGCGCGCTGCCCGTGGCGCAGGATACGCTGCGCGTGCGCGCACGACGCGCGCAACTCTGTGAGTGATGACTGACTCAGTCGTGAGTGATGACTGACTCAGTCGTGAGTGATGACTGACTCAGTCGTGAGTGATGACTGACTCAGTCGTGAGTGGTGAGTGACTCAGCCGTGAGGGATTACCTAATGATGCGTCTAAATATTTTCTTTAATCATATCATAATATAATATATATTATGTATAATTCGGATAATATTGTACTGGAAGCTACGGCGTCACATGAGCATATTTTATTTCCTTGTGTTAAAATGTATTTTTCAAACATTGTATAAAGGTATTTGATGCATCTCTTATTTATCCTTAACGGTACTAAGAACTTGCCTGTATCAGTGAAATAATTTGTATAAAACATAATATAACCATAAATCCCTGTACAGTGTAAGTTTATTTGCACATATTACGTTACTTAATTCAATATAAACTTTTAACCGGTGGCAATGTTAATATTTAATCTAGGTAAAGCTATACCGTAGTGTATTTGGTTTACTGAACAATTTGTGGTTACTCGACTATTTTGTCATAATAAATTGAAAAAAATAAATAAGCTGGCGATCGTTGACTTATCAATACAATGGCAGCCTCTGCTTGCTGAATTACGGGATATTATAATTGCTTTATTTGTGTAAAAAAACATATTGTTATTTAGGTGAATTGTAGAGGAAGCTCCATGAATTACGCTAACTATGTAATGTATGAACTGAACTATGATACTAGTTTTAGTTGGCTTTTACTGAAGCTACGAGTACAATGACGTACATGTCGTCTGTTGTGCTGCTGACGTTTGTGTTCAATTGCAATAAATTTGCACAATTTATTCAAATATAGTTCAACTAAAAGAGTGTCATAATGTGGCAATAGTGACGCACTTGTTTACCTAGAGCGCCTTTTTTCATTTTTAGCGCCTTCTTTCTTATTTAGGGCCTTTTTGCGTATATAGGGCCTTTTTGCGTACCTACATAGGGCCTTTTTTTGTATTTACCGCCTTATTCATATGTAGGGCCTTTTTGCGTATTTTCTGCCTTTTTACGCATCAGTGATCCACGCAAGGGCAAAGAATGCATTGCTACTTGGACAGTCCCACTCATTTCTCTGAGTGTTTCCTACGTTGCATGTGCCAGCCACTGTAATGAAGATGAATGGTAGTAATTGAATTTTCCTCTGTAAGTTTTTTCTATATTTGAGTGACAAGCTGTTTGTTGAGGAATATCGTATTGATACTTAGATAACGATTATGTTGGTAACTAACATTTGTGTACGAAATCAGAACTTGTGCACGAAATTGAGAGAAATGTGTACGAAATTAGGAAAAATGCGTACGAAATTCTGACAAATGTGTACTAAATTCTGACAAATGTCAATGAATATACAATATGCACGCTAATACGTTGGCCATCCCAATTTCTGGGGATATTTTTCGTATCATTTTTCACAAAATGCATTTTAATTTAAATGTTTTTATTACCGCTAATCTTGGTGATCAGTATCACTTTTCTCTGTACAAATCTACTGCGCTACAAACCCTGTACAAACATTTCTTACCAACACAGTGCCTTCGTATATAAAATTAACCCATGGGCTGAATATGCGGACGTGTGGCCGCCGATTATTCGCTCATAATTTGTTCATGTGTAGGATACTCGAGCTATTAGGGCACGACACCAGAGCAACATAGTGTTTGGTGACTCCTACTCACCGCCTCCTACTCATCTCGTCCAAAGTGAGTTTAGTGCTTGGTGAATTATACTCGCCACCTCCTACTCATCTCATCCAGAGTGAGTTTAGTGCTTGGTGACTCCTACTCACCACCTCCTACTCATCTCATCCAAAGTGAGTTTAATGCTTGGTGACTCCTACTCATCTCATCCAAAGTGAGTTTAGTGCTGGGTGACTCCTACTCACCACCTCCTACTCATGTCATCCAAAGTGAGTTTAATGCTTGGTGACTTCTACTCGCCACTTCCTACTCATCTCATCCAAGAGGAATTTTTAAACATAAATAATGATGATGTTTCTCAATTCAGGAAGGTTTTAACATATTTCTCGNTGAGGGCACATTTGAGGTAAATTTTAGGGTAAATTAAGGGTAAATCTGAGGTTAAAATTCAGGTTAACATTTGCGGGAAATTTGAGGATAACTCTATAATCATGCCTGATCCAGCATTGCAATAAAATGAAACTTTACCTAAAATAATGTCATGAATAATGTAAAAAATTTCGATGATTAATGCAGAGTAAAATTCTAGGTATATATATTCTAAATATACTTAATATGAAATGCAGCACTAATCGAAAAATTCACACAGCATCCTGATAGATCGATGGAATGAATAAATCAGATCCCATACACTATCGTGACTATCATTCCATAAGCTCTTCAGTCTTTTAGGTTGTGGTGGATTCGAATTTTCAAAGCTCAAGTAAATGAGATGTGTCAACTTATTCACCATATTTATTTATATATTCATTCTCATTCAATTCAAGACTACCTAATCCAATAGCGCGAATTTATTCACAATTTGAATATACCTCAATAGTGAATAGATAGTCACAGCTACTGATGGCGAAATGGTTATCCCATTTTTAAAAAATGTATACTTTAAACAAAAGAGCAGTTTCGTCAAGATGACCGTGTGAACAATATACCAGATAAATAATGCCAGCAAAATGAGTTGGGAAACATTATAATAATTACAATATTACTTAAAAGCACCTACAGTAATAGCAAACAAAGATATAATAGAATATAAAAATAGGAGTACAACTTTAAAACTAGAGCACTAGATTCGCAAGAAGACAAATTAAAATTTATATTTATATAATAATTGTACAGAAAATATGAATATCTCAGTACAGTTCGATAATCTCGTTATTGCAATTTTTGGGGGAACAATGAACGATTAAAACTTGATGCGTAGGCAATGAAAAATTTCGAAAGTTAGTGACAAAGCTGAAGAGCACATTCCTCTCTGCTCTCAATTTGAAGACCTGTCATCAATTGCATAAATTATCCTAAGTTGTGAAAGTTGCTAAGATTGATGATATAGATTTGCTGATTCGAAACTCACAGTTAGTTATGAAAATTCTGAATGATGTAAAGAAATAATAGCGAATAATGCTTTTGTACAGTAAAGCAAACCTTCATTTAATGAAAATGTCTTGGATATATTCAATATTATTACTTCAACTCTTTATACAACAGATATATTCGTAATTTGAATTTTCATGAAATTTAGCACAAGATCCCTGCTGCACAAGATCCCTCTGCACAAGATCCCTGCACAAGATGTGACGTCACTGATCTCAGTGACGTCAAGGACATTAACCAATTACCGAAGAGCGTTCAAACCAGTCAACCAATCCGTCATGAGAATGACGGGTTTGTTTACGTTTCTCGATCACAGTGACGTAACAAGAAAGCTGAACTGAAAGGCGGAACTTCTCGTGGGTCAACCTTACATAGTTCAACCATGGTTCATCCATGAAGTATAGAGACATGTACAGAATTAATGGCTTGATAACTTAAAAATATTTCAATAACCTAGATTTCAGCATGAATAGGCAAATTTGATCAATCAAAGCAAACTTCACTATTTTACTAGTTCCATCTATTTATAGTTCGTAAACTTATAGAATTCTTGAAATAAATTTGAAAGGAACGGATTTGCTAAATTATTTTTCGCCGTCCGGCAAGTGTCGTTGTCATGGTGATTGCATTCAAAACAGTTCGACATGGTCCGTTTTCATGCGGACGTCTTGCTGTGATTTTAGAGTTTAAGAAAAAATTTACAAGACAAACTTTCGGTGTGTAATACAAGTAGGAACTTAACTACTACAAAATTATCTGAAAAATAATAAAAATGTCTAAATTCAAGGTAACACAAATAATTTATTTTAATTTTGATTTTCAAAATATGGTTTCAATGTATTATACCGTAACTACCACGGTACTACG